TTCATATTCAAATCTGAATCTGAATCTGAATCTGAATATGAATCTGAAACTTGAATCTGAAACTGTAGAGCGGATCGTTTCAGACGAGTGTATACCAAACCGGGCAAGCAGAAAATTCTACGATCCGCTCTACAGTTTCAGATTCAAGTTTCAGATTCATATTCAGATTCAGATTCAAATTTGAATATGAAACGGGGGTACAAAATGTGGAATTGCTCAGTCTCTTTTCACGGAATAAACGTAATTCATCAAGGACATCCATTATCAGACTATTGCGCATTTGACAAAACTATACTTTAATTTTTAGCTCATAACGTGAAGCCAGGAAAAATCGCAGAAACTACACGACCAACGCGTGAATTCTTACTGCGCCATGTTTGTCTTGACCTGTCGACAAACTTATATTTCGCTTTGTATCGTAAAATGCGCGTGTAGTTCCCTAATTTCTGAAAGACATTCATTAGTACACTGTAGTAAATCGTATAAAGCACAGAGCAGCAGTATTGAGAAAGTACAAAGAAGGGCTTTGAGAATAATTTATTCCGAAAAAGATTACGAAAAGTTATTGTTGAAAGCTGGAATGCATACGCTTGAACAACGTCGCAATACTATGTGCATTGATCTTATCAGTAAAATGTCTGACCCGCATCACAAACTGCACCATCTTCTTCCTAATAAACTTTGCAAGGTACGGCAAAGGGTTACACGTCAGAATGGTCAATTGTTTTACAATTACCACTACAGAACAGAACGTTTTCGGAACAGTCCAATCGTTTCGTCAATTGAACTCTATAATAACTCTATTTTATAATATAATATAATATATAATATAACTTTATATATTTTTATCGAAACATTTTTAACACGTAGTGATAGTTTTTGGATCAGTCCATTTGTTTCGCCAATTGAACCTTTGTTAATAACTCTCTTTTTTTAATATAACTATCTCTATTGAAATTTTTATAATACCTAATTTAGATAATTTAGTAATAAATGTATATTTTCTATATATATGTAATGCGCGTTCTAATTTAGTTACTTATTGTAGCTATTCAATGTGTAATCTTTCTATAATAATAATAATAATAAAGCAAACTAGGTCTTAAAAACGTTAGTTGTTTCCTCAGGAAAAATCGCAAATCATAGATCATGAGATACGGCTTTTGTAACCTGAAGCGAACGTCAACAACGCAGCTGAGAGAACTATAAGAAAAACCTCTCGCGAAACGTCAAATATTCTGCAAAGTTCTGACCAGTTCTATCTGTGAAAATTATAAACAAAAATGCTTTGCCTAAGTTTATTAATTCACATCCAAAAAGTTTACCTGAAGTAATTTATTAAGTCTGTATACAAAGAAAAACCACTCGCGATGTGACAAAATAATTGCTGACGTTATGTCGCGCTACAAATGTTATGCAACAATTCATGTCGCGCGATAAATGTTATGCAATAATTCATGCCTGATCCCCCCTGCAGCCCACTTCTGCAGGAACTCCTCACTCTTTGCCTCCCGAGCGTCATGGTACATGCCCAATCTACGCATCTGACAATAACGCTACTTGAAGTTACGTATACCCTCTACGTACGTACGTACGTACGCGCGTACGTACGTACGTACAACCCCAAACAATTTCAAGTTTATTTAGTGAATTACAAAATAAACCTGAAATTGTTCGACTTCCCCTAAATCACATCACCCTTCAATCTCGTTCCCCGAGCCTGCGATCCTCGGGAAGGAATCGAAGGCTCTGGGATAATCCGTTACCGGAAGCCAAGAATCCTGGCTAAGATTGAACTACGCATTCCATTTCAATGGCCAATCAGATTCCTCCCTGAAAC